TGCGGACATATCTCTGGCCTATTTGCCTACTAAGTTACGTTGGTGCACCCTGAAAGCCGTTTCATTTAAGGCGGCCAGCCATCGAGCGCTGACACAGTTATCATCTCTTGGTGGCGCCCTTGAGAAATATCCAAACGTGTGGCGCTCTTGCCCCATTTCGCTGCAAAGGGTACCGTTACATGTTATTTAATCGTGTCCACAATGTCTTGGCCAAAAGTTGTATTATTTGGAGATTCTATAACACAGGTAAGTACAGGTACTTGCTTACGTTGCACTTTCGCCCAAAACTGGGTGAAATGAAGTAGGCACGGACACTCCGTCATGCCCTGTTCCTCAAGTCCGAGTAGGCCACCTACTGCTAGGCCTAGTACTAGTTACATTTATTATATAGGCTAAGTAAGATTTTGAGCTTTGCGTGGTGGAAGAGACACGAGAAATAGGTTTGTGGATACACCATGGAATCAATCTCTTTTGGGTGGGGTGTGGTTCTTAAAAGAACCGGTGAGTGTTTACTCGACGTTTCGTCCAGTGTTAGTTATTTATTCTTCATTCGACATTCGACATTCAATGTGCAACACGTCACTGTTTGATATTCAACACTGAATTAGTAACCAAAATGATTTGACATTCGGTGCCCACACAGGTCAGGATGCACATGATGTACGTCCTTAGAAATGAGGGAGTGCAAAAGGGACAAAAAACAAACTGTGCGCACCACCTACATTCTTGTTGCACACCACCATCATTGTTGAAGAGAGGCAAGATCATAAGTAAAAGGTCTGAATTCTGCCAAAAATAACTTGTAAATGGTCCAAAACCATCGTGATTACATGTTAATGAGACATTATTTAGTATGGATGGCTTTTTGGGGACGATTTGATTGAAAAAGTGCAGTTTTAGGCAAAGTAAACGGGCACATTTAGAATCCCATAGCATTTCAAAGCAGTGCAAATTTTGAACTGTGAGTCACATGGACACATCATGTCCAAGTTTTGAAAGAGGACAAAAGGAGCAAACATTGCCTCTTTTACCCTCCCTATGTGGATATAGTGATAAAAGGCATATGCCTGATCGTATTTACACAGACTATCTTTTGTGAAATATCAGCAATAACTTACATCAGCAGAGATGTGTTAAATGTGTGTTCAATGCCAAGATAAAGAAACTCATTCTACTGTACCATTCAGTTCTAAGCAGTGCTGAACGGTGCAAACAAAACAGTCGTATTTGCACAAAAAAAATGATATCCAACCAAATGTTTTATTCTTATCTCAATTGCGACCATGATTTGTGCCTGTTAGTCGCCCGCCTTGTCAGTTGTATTTCACGAATGATCACTGCCCAATTTTCTTCTCCGTGCACCGAGCAATGCTTTTGTAACATGATCTATGATCGCGCGGTTTATTCTCCGTCTTACTACGGACACAGCATGAGCCCACGTTAAACTGCAACGTAGATGTAACGTGCATGTAGATACATTCACTCACGCACAGGTACTAGGTGCTAGAGTTGACTGGTTTGTGGTTGCGGTTACCGTTTGTACAAAAATCGACCTGGCGCCTGGCATTTTTTTCTAAGAGCCAGTGGCTCCTTAACAGCCACTGTTACAGCAGAAGATGGTCACCATAGCAACATGAGTCAGGTCATCCCTTGGAATGCATCTTGGGAGAATGATGCGGCCCCAGGTGGTGTTATAACCTGAGAAGCCACTGTTACACCAGTACAGCACTGGTTCTAAGAAGTGGCATACACGGTGTATCTAGGTACCCTCCTATACAGGTCTTGCTCTTTGGTACGGAGCGGGAAAAGGAATGCAGGAATGTTGTAACTGTTCAAATTTGTGGTAGTTTTTAAAATGCATGTACTTTCAATTCCATACAGTAATTCTAAGTGGGAGATACAGCAGGCCCCCTCATCTGAAATTTGGATCATGTGAAGTAACCCTTACTTTGCTAGAGGAATATTTGTCTATGGGACTGGAGCCAGTCCGATTCATTCAGTAAAACCGTGGAGAAGTAAGAATGATTAACTCACAGTGCTCTTAAAATATTTGATATTATGTGCTTTCATTGGGGGCATTTACAAATCGACTCAAACATATTACTTAACCCACAACAGATGATTTACCAAATTTTCAAGATCTTTCAAGGAATGAATGAAATGTTTCGCTGATGCTGTACTGACCATGGAAGACAAGTAAATCTTGTCTGGAAATTTTGGACTTCTAGAAAGTAATGAAAATCTCTGTGTTTCACAGTTGTCTTTCGGTGATGGAGGATGGGGTGCATCTCTAGCAGATCAGCTACAAAGGTAAACAGAATTTTAACCATGCAGCGTCTTTGTTAAATTACAGGTGGAACTTTCAGATCAATGGTTTTGTGCTTTCTCCCGGTGATATGGTTATAAAACCCTTGTGCACTAGACTCCAGCTACATTGACAAAGACAGGCTATATGAACAGGCACTGCAACAGTGTGCACCTGTGCACTTTGTTTTGAAATCTAGGATTTGGTGTATTTTTATCAAGATCCACCAATAGATTGTTATAAGTAAATACTGAAACTCATAACGAAGGAATTACATGTTTGTTTGTAAGTAAATTGTTTGCCAAAAGTTGCAGTATCCTGTTATTTAATGAAGCAGTAAAATTGGATGAAAGGCCATGAATTGAAACGCGACTTTTCAGCACTGACACGACGATATAATGATGGACACAGTACATGTCAATACATTTTCTCCTTTTTTATCTCACACAGAAAGTGTGATGTTGTGGTCAGGGGCTTCTCAGGTTATAACACCACCTGGGGCCGCATCATTCTCCCAAGATGCATTCCAAGGGATGACCTGACTCATGTTGCTATGGTGACCATCTTCTTTGGAGCCAATGATGCCACCCTAGAAGTTACAGAGAGCTCCAAGTATGTCAGTGTGGATGACTTCATTGGAAATTTACAGGTGCTTTGTGCTCAGTCTGCTGATACAGTGAAAGATCATGCAACATTGCAGATCATTCAGATCTGAGCATAACTACATGTACCTAAAAGAACGTCCCAAGATGAATTAGTTTCTGAAGATATCTTTCAAAGAACTCTGAACATTTTGCAACGGAACTTCCTAAGCATCATCACCCTCATGGCCTTTAAATAGTCCCACTTACACTGTATGTAGTGCATTGTCATGAGGATGGATCCAAGTTCATGGAAAGATAGAAATATAATGGAACATGCAAGGCCATGGCCTTCTCGTACATCTACATTATCTGACCCTTGCCTTTTCTATTCTAAATAACCTAGCTCTGCCACTGCTTACCTCGTCCATTTGATAATCCAGTTTGGGAAGTGTTTCCTTCCTGACTATGTTTCCTCCTAGGAGCACTTAAAGGATGCTATGTGTCAGCTGTGTTTAGGTCGATATCACCCTCTAACATATAAAAGCTGAAATGTCTTTCTTTTTCTTCGCCCATGGAGCTGAAGGAAGATATTACATGAACTAAAGCAATGATCAGAGGGCCACAGAAAGTTGGAATAAATGAATTTGTTGCAGAATATCCAGAAAAGTAACCTCATTAGAAAGAGATGAATACTCAAGTATTAAAGTAAAGTACTGTTAAGAATGACTTTTTAGTAAGGCAGTGACATTTTGGTTGATTACCCAAATCATGCAAAGTGGAAAATGGAGCCTTAATTTGTAAATTTGGAGTGCACTAATACTAAATAGAGAGACATTGGTTGGCTGGATGGAAAGGATCAAACTGTTGTTAAAAAAGTGAATTTTATTTTTGTACATGGTTCAGAATAATTATGGACTTTCTAAGTTTCTTTCTCCTACGTAAATGTTTCTTCAGGGTATGGTGAAATATTTAGTGGAGGGAGGAGTCAGCCCACAGAACATCATCATCATTTCTCCACCGGCACTGGATGACAAAACCTGGAGTGAAGGATGCACGAAGAGTGGTAAGTGCTGAATGCGGTAAGGCTCAAAGCAACCATTTAGTGACAGTCGTGATGGTTTGAAATGGATGACTTTGCCATCACTTCTCCGATATGTTTTGGAGGATTCTAAGGCAGATAAATCAGAGAATTGTTCTGGTGCATTGAACCTGCACTGCAGCTTCCTGCCTGGTGAAGGGCATTGCCTATTGGCTGTTTGGAAGAACTGTAGAGGGTGCTGTGACTGTGCCACCAGGGGGGGAAGTGAGCAGATACCAATTAAAGTAGGCACAAAAGTGGCAAAAAGGGAAAGGATAGGAAAGGAAAAGAGTCCAGAATTTTAAAGTCCACTACAAGTCAATCACAAATCTTAGAAATCTTGGACTTACCACATTTTGCCAAGCCTGACCTAGAAGGGGGGGGGCTATGTGTGCAGCACCAGAGGAATGCTGGTGTCAGAATAAGCGACACTCTTCAGTTGTTTGCCACTGTCCTGTTTACACCTATGCTCTGTGTTTTATCAGGTGGCCCAGTCAACAGGAAGAATTTCAACACAGGTCTCTATGCCAAAGCCTGCTGTCAGGTGGCCAAGGAATACTCCACGGGAATCCTTGATCTCTGGACACTCATGCAAGAGGAGCAGGTGTGAGCAGATTGGTATAGCAATTATACTGAGACAGCTAGAATAAAGTACCACTTAGCAATGTTGCACCCAAGCCCATGTTTGGATTCTGGGCTTTGAGCTTTTAGTTTGATTCAGGAGATCTTGAGCTACATGTATGTCTAACATGTTTCCTTAGCAAAGCGGATTGACTAATGAACGACCAGAACCAGTATGCCTCACAATACGTGTGGCCTGAATGTTCCATTGCTTCGTAATTGCACAAGGTGAAGTGCATTCAATTTTTAGAGATCAGAAAATGTTGACTTTAAAGTACCCTACTTGTTCCCAATCCTGCACTAGGTGTAAGACTGGGAACTATTAAAGTTAGAGCGTTAGCCCCCAGGTTTCTTACATTAAAGGCATATATATTCAATTGGACCGGGTCAGGCGGTTCATGTCTCCCCTCTAGAATCCAGCCAGTGAAATTGTTTTCATTCCTTGATTTCTATCCCTGGTCCCTTCATGAACCCTGCTGCAGTTTCTGGCAGTTGCAGTGTGGATAAGCTTATTCAGTACTTATCTTACTCAATTGTCAGAGTAGAAATAAAGATTTAAAAATACTCTGCAATACCTGAGCGGTTGATTGAAGTTTCTCAGAGGGATGAATCCGGAAGGAAGCAAATTGCTCAACTGACAAAAGGCATGCTGCTTCAAAAAAGGGACTTTTTTATGAGTATGGGCCGCGAGCTGCACCAAGAGAGGGTGCTGTTTTCTTAGCAGCAGAGGCTCCTTTGGTCGGAAATGAATTTTGGTGGGTCACAAACGACAAGGAAATGCACGCATCACGGTCGCATCGCTACCAACTAATTGAGCACTCCCGACCAATGCGGCTCTTTTCAACTGATGAGGTAGTGCTTCTGCTCGAGGCCTATACCTAAAAGGAATCTCTCTGTTATAGAAGTACCACAACACCATTGACTTTAATGTTTAAGTTGAGAACAACTCTGTGCTTCCACCCATCAGAATTGGCAACGTTTTTTAGTGGACGGTCTCCACCTCTCGGCTGAAGGGTCAAGATTTCTGGCCGGGCATCTGTTGGAAATGGCAGCCATCAGAACCAACCACCTACCAGACCAACTGCCCGACTGGAAGGACATTGATGTGGCTAATCCCGAGAAGAGTCTGCTGGCTTGACGTGAAAGGCTTTGGAGTGGGAGGTGAAGAGTGTTCTGGAACTGTTCAACGTTGCTGGCATGTACATGTGTGTGCATGCTGAGACATTGCCATGTCACTAACATCTGCTTGTGCAACAGTTGATATGACAGATGGATCTATATTGGTAATAGCTTTTCTATGAGTCTCTGTACAGTATTTAGATTGTTCAGTATGTTATGTTGCTTTAAGGGGGAATATTTTTGCTGTTGTCTTTCCTTTGAGTCTTAAAAGATTGCTCCCCTAATGTGCACCTTCAGTGGTCCTAGAACTGGGCCCTCATGCAAATCGGTTTCAACACTCGGACATCAAACAATAAAAACACACTTACATGTACACACCTGCAGCCATGACTCAAGGCCGACATCCTAGAGTCTTCCACCGCCTTGCCTACAACACAGTGTAAAGGCACCTTCATAGTCAAATATCATCATTTAAGACCATCATTTAACCCCTTTCCTCTAACCCTCCCAAACCGTATCATAATGCTTTTCCAACTGTAAAAGAACGAGAGAAGGGGCTACTATAGTTCATGAATGATGAGGTCGGCACTTTATACGTGTAGACTGCATTTCCAGCAAGGTTTGAGGAGTTGTGCACCAGTGAGAACTGAAAGGTCCTGACGTAAGAAGTCAAAAGACCTGAAAGGGTCGTGTCGGTCGGTGTTTCAATGAATGCATGATAGGGTGACATTGTACATCTAAAGTGCCCGCTGCCTGGAAACTTAACTGTATCCTCCTTTGGTATTCGTGTGAGGATCAATCACAGATCCTTCAGTCTGCAGGTAATTAATGACGGATTCCTCGTAATCGGTGCTAAACTTGTGAGGGGCTTGAGAATCTCCCAGTGGATTAAAGGGTTTCGATAGGTTTGGGTCAAGAAGATGAAGTTGTTCTATTGGTGAGACACCTGAGGTGCAGGGTTCCCACTCTCCTGGAAATCCTGGGAAAAAGTTATCCTAGAAAGACATGGAAAATAATATGATGTCATGGAATCCTATTGTAAGAGGAAAAAAGTGAGGGAAGTGTCATGAAAATCAAGATCATACAAGGGTTATTTTTGATAGGCGGCTGTTGAATTGAAAATGGAATAATGATGAACTCACAGGCAGCCCTTGTCAGTGTAGTAGTGTCTATGACAGTCTTCCAATTCATAATATCAAATTTTCTCTGCAAAATGGGGTTGAGTGTCATTGAAATGGTCATATTTTAGCCCTGGAAAGTCCTGAAAAAGTTACGGAAATTGGTTTTTACGTTCCTGTGGGAACTCTGACGTCTCGGGCCAAAACTTTCAAGTGGGTTGCACTGACAGTGTGCAAAGATAGAATTCACATTGGCGAGCGGAACACACGAAGTGGAGGCCCGTCTATTACATCACAGATTGTGTGCTTTGGTCAAAATATTTTTTACTGTTTTTCAAGATTTTCGGGGTTAAAATATAAAGCCCCAACTTGTTTTTACCTCTGTGTAGATGGTTATATTAACCGAGTTCAAACCTTTTTTCTCAAAATTAAAAATTTGGAAATGCTCAGTGTTTAAAAATATCCACAAGAGGGTCTTAAGGGATTGTTCAAAAAATTGTTTACAAATTTGGAGTGCAGAGGTGGCAACTCAATTACCAATAAATAAGTGTAAGGATGATGGCTTCTTGAGTTTTTTGTGTGTCTCCTCAGTAGGGGCCCTGAAACAGAAGTGAACAAAATGTTTCTTCTGACCAGGAACTCTCCAGTTTGTTCAAGAAAACACACCTAATACGGCAGCCTACTATGTATTTGGTGTGTCTTCAGTTTGAAAAAAGTCAGGTTCACTTTTGCAGAATAAGAGGTAAGTTTGTAATTTTGTTTATAATCCAGAATATTTGTTTTATCACTGTTTCCCTAAACCTGATGAATTGCGAGGATTTTGTGTACCAGGAAGTAACCGAAGATGATACGTACTAAGAAAATTTCTGTATGATAGACGTTGCGTTTTCTATCCAGTCTTGTTTAGCAAAGGCGGTGACCATTTTGAGTGTTTGCTTTGCGATGATGATTGTGGTGGGGAAGGTGGTAATGGTTTTTATGAAACTGAATGAGCGATTCTGACAAGCATTTGACACCGGGAAATGTGAAAATATAGTGCAAAACAAACTTGAAAAAAAGTTTATTCGGTAAAACCGGGATGTATCAATCGACTAATTTGCCATCGGCAAAACCAGCAGTGCTTACAAGTCCTGTTCATGCTTGATTACTAATTTGCACATTTTATTTTATTCAAGCATTTGTTTTTCACTCGTGTCGATGAAAACCACCGTTTTACAGTATTGTTTGTTGACATAAACAGTAACTCAGTTTGTACATCTCAATCAAAATAGGATAATCTTCAAGAACCGAGGTAAATGTATGCAAGGAATTGTACATGTCTTATGTCAAAAGCCTTTCATTCGTAAAAAATACCTGCAGAGTTTACGAGGAATACGCAAAGTTCTCCGATTGGAAGCTTTCAGATATGATGTTTAATTATGGATTAATTAACTCTCATTTAATTTGACACCCTCTTGCACATATTCGAAGTGTCGTGCTCACAGTAAACTTACACATACTATGGAGCCCCAAGGTTAACTAATGCCCTTGCATCTGGCATTCCAGTTACAGCAATGTACTCTCAGATTGATTACAATGCAACACGTTACTATCCGGGTTTTAGTACCCAGAGTGAAGCAGCGAACAACCCTGGAAGAGTAAAGTCCATATAATACAAATAACTCTGGGTTGAAAAGTATACATGTGTATGTTTATACATCACGTTTTGAAGAAATATGGTTCGAATTTCACACTTGCACACCAGGTCAATGATGTCAAATACTTGGGCATACTGGCCCTGATATTTAGGATAAAAGTATTTCGAGCGATTCTCCAAACCTAATAGATGTTGAAAACATTCCACACTGGGCACGGGTACCGCTTGACAAAAGTAGACAAGCAAGCCCTATAACACCCCCAGGGAGTTAAGTACATAAAGTAACTGTTTGCTTGCTATTTTGTCGAACGTAATGTCCCCCATTTTCTCACATTCTCTCCACATTGTTCAGGCCATTAGAATTCTCAGTGACCACTCTCAAAACGTTTTGCCTTTCGCTAGTCTATTACCATGGCCTATTTTTCATGGCCTATGGGTTAGAGAAAGCTGGACGTATAAAGCAGTCAAACGAGACAGAAACTTGTTTGCCTCATTAAAATATGGAGAATATTATGCTCAGTGCATTTAGGAAGAGTAGCCGGGGTTTCAAAGTCATGTGGAACACTTTGAGTCATAGAGAAAGTAATTGAACACTGGTCCACGTAGGAATCACTTGTTTGAGAAGCCAGCTTCATTTAGTGACTCACGGTTCGCCAGTGACTTGCAATATTAAGAAGACGCTTGGTGGCAGCAGCTTACAAAATTCAAGGCAGCTCTGGCGCATATACGCTCAAGCCACGCTCCACTGTGGAAATGTATCTAGACACAGAGGAGCATGCTCACAGCTCTTGTTGTGGGGATGGAAGGGTTGTGGGAATGGGTAAACAAGTCTTGTAATCTGCCTCCCGAAACTGCAATTCTGCACGTAATTTTCGAAATATCAACATGAGAAAGATTCATAATATAGGTTCCAAAAAATCACCCATCTTTCATTTTTGAGAGGGAGGGGGTTGCAACAAGGACGGGTCGGGAGCAGGTGGTTGTTGTAGGTGTTAAGATAAGTAGACGCTTCAGGCCCACTTTTGTCATGATGCTGGCAGTTGCTGATCTCTTTGGACAACATGCGGCGAAAATGCCATTTGATCAACACTTATGTGGCTCACGCACAACCCAGTCATGGCCGTACAAAATAGTGCGCTGGAGAATCAGTATGTCCCATTGTCTAAGTTTCCGATAAGTTGGCACTTGGAAAAAGTGGGGGGATGCATGGTGTTGGCCTGTTATTAAGAAGACACCGCCGTCCACGCCAAGTGGGTTTGACTGGCCCCCCTTTCCCTGTTCCACAATGGCGTCTTCCGTTCCAGACAGCTGAAACACCTTTGCGTTGGACAGTGGTGCGTCACGCCTTCAAGTAAACAGGCCAGTAGATTGCGTTGAATAATGCAAAAACGACAGGAAAAGAGTAGCGGCAGATTCTGTCCAATTTGTCTGCGGTCAGTGGCTCACGGTAGCCGGGTCGCCTGGCCACTCCTAGGCCGTAGTGGAACTCGAATACTCGCAAGTGGTCTACTTTCTCGTTGATTCCGTTCCCTAGTTTCTTGGTGTAGTTTTTCAGCTTCCGTTTGTTCTGAAAGAATCATAATGGCAGCTCATTACGTGGGTGTGTACGTATAATCTTAAAACCTCGCACCAAGCATGCCAGTGATTGTTCAGTAATTAATGGAAGATTGAACATGAGGCCACTGATGTAACTTAACAAACCCAGACTTTCAAAGGGGCAGCGTAGAATACCTCACGGGTCAATCGTCATTAGTTATAATCAGTTCGAGAGATGAACATAGAGCATCTTGCGCTCAGGAATGAAATTAATGTAATGAAATTAAGCGACTCATTGGCACGCAGAAACTTGGGACTTAAAGGGTTTATGTAGTGCACGTGTTTCAATTACACAATTCACATTTGAGTTTGAGTTTCAACTGACCTGATTGTTAATATGTGTTTTACTATTTGAAAAGGTATTATGGCACCTATTCTAGTGTTTAAGCTAATGTGAATTTCCATATTTATGAGCACAGTTGTAATGTCATTCCTGGGAAAAAATCTCATTGTTGCACTGATTTTTGCTCAACTCGTCTGAAATTTGTTGACATTTTGCTCCTCTAAATTCCCTTTTCTTTGGTGATTCATTGAAATGTTTTAATAAGCAAATAGTGGGTTCACAATTTAAACAGAAAGTCTGGTAAACAGAGCAGTATCTTCCCTGAATACCAACTGCTAAGCCGGTGTCCGGAAAAGTTACAAGTTTACACAGCCCCACCTTTTAATTTTCTCATTCCTGGAAGGGTGTCCAGTTGTTTTCAAACATTAAAAAGGTTGCGCAAAATGTGTGTCTGAGAAAACGTTGTCGCCTGGAACCTTTAACGAAATTTTGCTTTTGTTGGATTTGCAGCTCTAGAAATGGGTGTGGCCTTGGACACACTGTAACAAATTGTTTCCATAACTAGTATACGAAAGAGTTTGGCTTTTTTCCCATAAGCAGCAAATCATGTTGGACTCAATGAATCTTTATTGCTTCATTGGTGCTTGGCACTTGTGCCTCAAAGTTTTCGCTCCTTAAAGCTGCAGTAGGTTAATGTTTTAGACTGAATCAGAGACATTATTCATTAACTCAGAGGGAGTGACATTGAGACACTGACACACCCGATCCGGCTACCAAGCGCCGTTACAGCAAAATGCCAACATTCGAAACGTAGAAGTAAAATGTCACCGTATTATGTGATATAAATACCACGCTAATCAGAGAGGCTCAACGTCGGTAACGCGTTGACGTGGACAATTTTCCCTCAAATAAAACAAACTTCAAGGCTACTCATATGGAATGAACTTAACTACATTCAAGCTTAACAAACTGATCTTTCCAACGGAAAACAAACCTGAGAAAAAAGGGCGGAAGTGGTGCCTATTATAATTTAATGAGCCTTAAATGCGAGTTACATTTAAACAAATCTGGTACACTGAGTTATCTCACTGCATTTAAACATGAAAATTTGAATTTCCCCAGACTAAAGACACTGTTGCTATACCTCGTGATTCGGGGAAAGCTTTTGCATAGGTTTCACCATCTCTTATCCACTGAAAACAGTGTATTGGTGCAAGGCATCTCTTAGGTAACTAAGCAAAAGCTTGCCCCGAATCACTAGGTAAAGTAACAGTGTGTTCAGTCTGGAGAATTCAAATTTTTATATTCATGTGAATTTAAAAAACTCAGTGTACCAGATTTATCAAATTTAACTCGCAAAAGGCTTATTCTGGCATTCTTTGCACAGTGGCATGAGCACTTTGTTGTAAAAGCCTCATTTGTTATTAGCAGTGGGTAGCAGGATTGAGAGGCCGAAGCGTGTCCACGAGTAACTCAATTATTCATTTAGAATGGTGGTAACTCCCTGATAGTATTGACTTTAAACGCATGTAAATTAATCTACTGATTTTATTCCTCCTCCAAGATCCCTGCCTAAATGCTTATACCTCTCAACATGTTAACCTGCACACTTACTTCCAGAATGACTAAGTAGTTCGCACAAGCATACTCCATGAGCGATGAGAAGACAAATACGAGACAGACGGTTAACCATACGTCAAGGGCCTGTCAAAAAGTCGCAAAACAAAACACACACAAAAAACGGAACAAAGAGGGAGAGAAAACAACTAGTTATGGAGAGAAAATGAACTAAAAATCAAATTTTTAGAGAATAGTTGGCATTGAGTGAGCTCTAATCGCTTTTTGTTGCACCAAATAGTAACCGTTCGTGAACACCGAACAGTGTCACTGAAGGAAGAGAAAGACAACGCAAGAGAAATCGTAATACATGTATTTTGATTGCAAAATATTAGTCTTATTTCAAATAATTTCGCGCAAAGTTTTAGACTTTTTTTTAAATGTCCATCATAATACAGCATAGTTTGCATACACGGGGTCCCACTGCATACCGTGGCAATGGGAACGTACCTTGGCGTACGTCACAAGTGGCATTGTCTCTTGCATGCCAGCCGTCATGGTCGTGATCGTCAAAACAGTCGTTATCCCCAGGGATACGCGCGCGGGTGCAGCCTTGGCGTCGATCCAAAACGACAACCACGCGATGACGACAATCAAGCTGCTGGGTATGTAGACGGTCAGGATGTACGACTGGAGGTGACGACTGAAGCTAAATATGACCCTTGCCACGCTGTAATTACCTAGTGTGCCGCAGAGAAAACGGATTAACAAAAACAATCGGCTGAAGCATGGAGGTTTGAACATTCTCTTCCAACAGTGTAAAAATGGAGTAACATTCCTTTCTGGTACCCTTTGCCATTCAACAGAATTGACAGTGTATGTCTTGGCACTTGATTTGCATGTATTTTAAAAGTCTTACCCGTCGGCCCATAGCCAATCTCGGTCATGTCGGTCTTGTATCCGTCCAGTTGAAATCGCGGAATTTGCAGATCGGCGTCAATTTCCAAGGAATTGTTGGTGATGGTGAGGATCATTTCGTTGGAGTTGTAAGTGTCTGCAAAAGTACAGTGACAAAACATCGGCTAAGCAACACTGGCGATTACTTGAGATGCATTTTTATAGAGTTGGACGCGATACAGACTGAGCTTTATACCATAGAACAGACTGGAGAATGTTGGTGGATTTCCTTCATAAACTTCACGTTTCCAAAAAGTATCGGTGGCAATAGGCCTTAATATTAAAACATATGTCACCGAGTAATTGAGATATATGTACTCTGTAATACCTTTGGGTATACGTGCGAGAAACAACATCCAGCATGCCCTCTTCATTTCTGACCAAATAAAAGAGTGATCGCTTAGCCACTCGTGCGGATATTCTTTATAGGACCTAAATATAATAAGCGCAAACGTGTCTGCATTAAAGTCTACGAAAAGAAAGATTTGCCAACTTGTTGATGTCTCATCAAAAGGATCAGAGGTTAAAAGCTTATTTTGTGTTAACTGAGATTTACAAAACAATTGTTTTATTCCTCTATAAAAAGGTTTTACAAGTGTAAACGTACATGGTCTGGGCATTATAATATAGATAAATAAATACATTATTTCCATGTGTATCCTTTTAAAACAATGCATCGTTATCAGGTAAATGTCATCATGCGACAGTGGTTGCACTTTTTTAACGTTGTCTTTCTTTTTCTCGCGTCGTCAGCAGTAGGGCTTACTCGTAATGCAGTCCACGTGTACCCATCAGCGTAAAATCACTCAAGTTAAAGTGCAGTACAGGTGCATTTTTTTTTCAAAACGATGTTGTCAGTAGACCAACAGCTGCCCCCACAATCTTCTTCATATGACACTTGAACCTGTGCATGTCGGGAGGGTACCAAGGCTGTGTCAGTCACTTGGGATACACGCAGGATACCTAGGGTTCGTGCAAAAAGTAGCAAATCCATTGCTACTACGCACTTGCTACGAACTGAAAAGTGACATGGAAGACAGTTCTTGACGTACTTCTTCTCCGTAAATACATTGATGACTCGCTCGTGGGACCGGATTTACATCACATCGCTGCGAAACTGCCTTGCTACATGAAGGGGCGTTCAGTAGATCAGTAGATGGTTTCGATTGCCAGTTATAATTTGTTATCCATGTCAGATTGGAAATAAATCACTTGTGAATGTGATTTACCCGTGGGCATTCCTTTTTGCCCATTTAATGGCTGAATCTGGAGCGCGGTTTCAACATGTCTCGTCTACTGCAACCATCCATTCATGTTGACTGTTATCTGAATTGTAATTTTCCGCTCTGAATGCGTCACCAGCATGTCTCCCATGCACGCTGTTGACGTGCGCCCTAAAACAAGCATATCACGGCTATTTCTGTGACGGCGGCGCGATGTGATTTGCTTTTCATTTCCCTCCTTTGAGGAGAAGCGAACTGGTAATACGTTTCCAGATTATGGTTGTGATGAATCTACAACAGTAAGAAAAGAACATGACCACCAAGTCTGCCAGAGCACGACGTTCAGCAGCAAACGAGACTCGAAGTTGTTTACTCTCGCTCAAGGCCTTGTGATCTCCTAATCCGTGCAATGGAAAATTTGGGAAAGTACCCTTTGACTTTTGAGAAGTCTGCCAACGGGCAACATTGTGTCGATTCTTGCACATTCGTTAGGCGCAACACTGCGCACCTTTAGATTGAATTTGGAGAATCAATCTGTTTTGGCGCCAAGTTGCCTGTGTCCTTCAGTTCAATTCATGAGTAGGGTCCTCGTTCCCATGAAATACACTGGGGGTTTCAGTAATGGTACGACCTTACTTTATTTTTTAAGTTCTCGGACACTAGATTCGCTTCGAGGCAAACATAATATAATGGCGTGATGTAATAGGGCAATATTTCTGATTGGGCAACCGAGGGTGCAAACATCTTGTCCCAGGGGCCACTGAAAGCGACTTAACTGTAGTTTGTACATAATTGGGCAACCGGGGTGCAAACATCTTGTCCCAAGGGCCACTGAAAGCCACTTAACTGTGGTTTGTACATATTTGTTTCCATTCCAAAATCTAAAAAGGGGGCACCTGTAATTATGCCACTGCCTCCAGGGCTTCTAGGGGTGAGTGCAACAAAGCTCACAGGGAGTATTCCCCGAGCGTGTTGCCTATTCAACAGAGATTTTACGGGTATTTTGAGACAATGTCAAGGAGTAGTATGGTCTAGCGGTCCTGGTATCTGAAAGACGCAAGAGTATTCGCGGTTCGAACCCAACACGTGCTATGGAGCTTGTGTTCCTCCCGTATTTTAGCCACAAATGCCAATATGATGCACCACACGCAGCAAAGGGGGACCCGTCTATTTTGTGTCTTCTTTTGTGTTGTAGGTATCTTGAGCATTGTTTTTAGATTCTCAGGGGTATGCAGTATGTACATATCATGCAATAGACATGGATATATAGCTTACACATCACACGAGGGTCCACTTTTGCCTCACATTGTCATGCCTGTCAACCTGTTGTACTCCTTCCTGAGGTCAGGCATCATCACATAATTGATTAGAATTTTAAATGAACTGGGGGCTCATTTAAATAAATTTTTAATCTATTGTGTGATATTGCCTGACCTCAGGAAGAAGTGCGACAGGTTGGCAGGTCTGCATTCTGCTGGTTATCACAAGGGCCTCTTTCCCTCCAGGACTAAGGGTACTTAGGAGTGCGGCTATCACACTGCGCTGATCTCCAGCTCATGGTCTATGTACGCCTGTATTGTTGGATTTTTGGGGGGTGGGGGTACTGTGTTGTGGGCCTTTTTGGTTACCTGATCCAAACCCCACCCCAGCCAAAATACCAAGAGAAATATCCCCCCAAATGGTGGAAAGTTCCAATGCAATAATAAACCAGCCTTTAAAGGTAATATACGGAATATCAAAGATTCCCAAAACTGTCAACCAAAGTACCAATAACCTTCCAAGAGTATCACTTTGTGCGGAAAAGCTTCACAACCACATGAAATGGTCCTAATATGTCTTGTGACGCAAAACCTGGGAAACTGCCCAATATGGTTTTTAGAAAAACCAGATTAAAGTGTGAAGATTGTGAGCTGTTTGGGTTGTTTCATAAACGAGTGCTATCAATCCCGTTTTGTTTAGCGCACATAAAAAAACAATAAGGTCAATAAGGCTATTAAGGTCAAATCTGACTGTTTGAGATCAAATCGACACAAGTCTATGAACAAAACTGCCCTTAAATGAAGCCAACTTGGTACTTACAGCTCATCATGATCATCTGACACTCTTGGGTGTCCATTGGAAACCTCGCCAAGTCCATGTTGCACGAGAGCGTAACTGAAACTCTGGAATGAATTGGATGTATAAATTGGACGTATAAATACATTGATTTAAAATAGGAGTCGACATAACATAGAGGAGGGAAATTGCCTATGACATTGACATGACACAGGCATTGTGGAATAGTGGTATACTTAGTCGATTGGTCATTCTGCCTCATCAGGCCCCGCACACGTCATTTTCTCGCCATATATCACAACAGTTAATTGAATTACTTCAGCCCTCACTCGAAGTATTCCTGCCCGATGCACTTGTTCCACTCAATCACATGATAAATCACATCGGTCGAGTGCTTACTGTTGAGGTTCCATCCATGTCGCCGTTCAGTTACCAGAGTTTTCTGTTCTCTGTTTTCTGGTTTTTTTCTGCATACATTTCTCCTAATGCGGTTTTATGCGAAGGCTGGTTTGCATTTTGACGCGATAGGCCGACCGGACAGGCATCTAGATCTTGAAATATAGAATTCTTGTGATGCTTGTGGGAAAAAATCAAGATACTTTAAAAACAAAAACCGGCACAAATTGTTCTATTCATCGCAGTCCTCAATTTTTTTAACCTTGAGTCCACACCGTGTTCATTGTGAACGCACATTTTGACAATATGTTGATTTCACTGTACTCGATATCAACATCTGATTATAGCCTGATTATGGGAAACAGAACCAGACCAAACCGACCCAACTAAGCCATTTTCAGTAAATTTCTATAGCTTCAATGCCAATATCTTTTCTTTTGAAATGCACTTTTTCGCTGTCTTTGACAGTGAAGATTTTGTTTATGTCTAAAAGGATTTCAACCATAGTTATTTAAGCATCACATTGTGCGTTTATTTACTCGAATGCATGAAACGGAGGTAAGATCAGTTAAATTGAGTTGAATCGAATAAAAATGAGCAGGCAAGGGCTATATTGTTAATACATCCAATCTCGTCGATTGTATCGATCATGCCGTTGCGACATTTGACATGACACAAAAAGTCTGTTCGCTGATCAGGCCGGGTGCATCTGTGTGGAGCATCCTGCACTTTGACTCGATGCGGAACATTATTCATACGTAATATATTTCAGAAGTTTATCACCACGCCAATCGGTCGTTCAAATTGAACTCTTCCTGTGTCTGTTTTCCCCTCTTGAATTCCATTTACTGTTTAACTTTGCGTTCAAAATATCACAGTTTATCCTTGAAGAAACTGTCCTGCACGTAGTTGTAACAGTACATGTGTTTATCTGACTTCCAGCACAGCGTTGTTATTGCAGTTTATACAGATTGCGCGGAGACCGTACCGTGAAAGTGGGATTTCCATTTGGTAATATTAAATGTAGGACGGAATTGATCTTTGGGCGGCACATGAGTCGCCAGCTCAGCCATCAAGTCACCGCCTTAATCCTTTTTTTTAAATTCTTGAACAGGCCTCTTATCCTACGTACCGTCATTTCAACGCACGTGCATTTAGAGTAGTACTGTTTTATCAAGGCAGCCGCTTGTTTCATATCAAATTAAGTGTCACATGGGATGTAACGTTGGACAGTCTAAAAAGGCTATTGTCTGCCTGAGGATTGGGATAATGATTACAGCACTGGCAGGGTTCAACTTCTTGTCGGCTATATCAGTGTCACAAGTTTAATTAGCCAGGGGCCACATCACAGTGGTTACCAAAGTGACGGGAATGAACAGTTGTCACATTTCATTCGAACAACTCATGGCACAGCTTGAGACAGGATGAATTGTGATGGACTGATAAGCGTTTGTTTTGGACTGGTCCAACTGAATTCTGGAATAAAGACTGGTTCATACAATAGGCAGGTGTGAACGTGAAGGGCAATCTACTGATTGCGCCCGCGAAATCACGTGACCTATTGTGGGAATCAACCCCATAGCAACGTGTGTTTTGAGTAATGTTTACAATACATCCAAGTTACGGTATAGCACCCAGCAGATCAATACTCTGAGTACGGTACCTACCGTCGGCTCTATTTTTGGCAATTGATACTTATGCAACACTTTGCTTTTGGTGGACAAAGTGCTTGTTGATATAATAGTAATACCTACTACAGGTCATGTAACCTAACGGACGCAGTCAGTTCGACCAGTAGTCAGACGCTTTTGAACAGTGCGCACGCGCAATTCAGTTACACTCAAGCGACCCTAGTCGACCTTTTTTAAATTCTCATCGTATTACTCACATTTTCACCGTTGGCTGCGAATCTCGCAGCGAACATGGCCACTGAAATCTCTGACGTTTATTTTCATGTGAATGGTTCCCTCCGTAATGATAAATGAAATGAGTTATCGATAACCAGCGGTGCGACCATGCCGAGGAGCCTGGTCCCAAATGGTGGACTAGATAGTCCAAACTATCTATCGTTCGGGCAGTTTTAGTCGAAATAGTGATTTATAGTTGTCGCTCGAACTTGCCAGCAACGACGCCACGAAAGATTTGCAGCAAAATTTCGCTCGAGGTGAAAGGTGCTCAACTTTTGGAAATTTGCAGCGCGAATATTTGACCTGAGGTCACAAATTTGCATTTTTCAGCGCTTTCGCGCCAATTATTAACTGACCTTATGGAGAATTTTACGAATACCAATAAATAAAACATGAAATTCGAAAACCTGTTAAGTTATACAGGATTAGGTTCAAACACAAAGGTTAAACTCCATACGCGAGTCACTCTGGCTGTACTCAGATTTTTTTTGGAGGGTTGGGTAATTTGTGTTTGCAGATGCTTCGAGGCCGACAGGCATTAGATGAACAACGCAACGGCTCAACAATGTACAGAAATTAAAAGATCAAAAGTCACTCTTCATTATTCCCGATCCCTTGACGGCTGGGCGCTGTGCGCAAAATGGGTGCGTTGGATTATACCTTCCACGGGGAACGTTGACCTGGGATTACCGTTTGTACATGTGGCAAACATACTAGACTGTGAGAATGGGGTTAAACCCGAGTCAACTCGTGGAAGCCACTCGGACACGCCCGATACACAGCAGACTCACCTCGTGCTCATCAACACGGTGCCGTTCGGGTACAGCCGGATCATCCGGTTGGGCACTGTGACGTCGTGGAACGTGGATTCCTTCTCGTACAGGAAGAAGACGTCTGGAGTCCATATCGTGCTCATACGGTCCCCCTTGAAGTTGACCACGTCCCGGCCGACCGAGGCGTTGGCCACTAGGCGGGAATCGTGCCAGAATTGTCGGAAGAACAACGTCATGGTGAAATCCTGGGTGGGCGCAGACGACTACAGTGATCCACAGTGTTTCAAGGATTCATGCAGTTAGTAGGAGGCTGAAAATGGGTGATCTGTGCCATGCATTTTTTTCACATTGTGACCCCGTGCTTTCATAACTTGACATCTTCATAAGAGTCGACTTCGTTCCAAGGATAATTTGGATTAGGAGCACTTGTTTTTTCAACATTACGGCCTGTTGCTATCATGCCCATCCCCCAATTGAATTCAGAGCCGACGAATGCTGGGGTTATGGCCTATCCCCACGTGCAAACGTGTGTTTGATACCTGTTTGGATTTGTTTTAGAATTTCTTTTCATTTTGGACACATTTACCGAGTTTTTGTCGGTGCCCCTTTCCATAACCCTTCGAAGAAAACAAAATCTCACAGGTTTATGCACTCAAAGATCTAGTAGAGCGAAAAAGGTGGACAAAGGGGAGGTTTCAAAGATGTATAGGGAAGGGCATTTAATACAACGAAGACAGGGGAGCACAAACCCACAATACATTAGTGTATAATTCATAACATGGAAATGGTTAATTAGCGGTTTGTCCTGAAGGATAAGGGGAGGTACCCAACCCCTTGATCACCCCTATATCTGGGAATGCAGGCCAAGGCGCAGAGCGCACGACAGCCTCTTTAGTTGAGATATATCTATGAATCATACTTTGCTAGGAGGTGACTTCACGGTATGTCTACTTTGAACGAAGGATTTGGTGACCACTCGCTGGCTGGATACCTAGATGCGATCAAAAAATGCAAAAGTGAAATATTCTATGGAATGCTCCTTTTGTGTCTCATTGATGAAAGGTGGAGGAATCAGTTTTAAAGAAGTTGCGTGTTGACTGAGTTATCACAGCTTACATAAAAAAGCACCGGGCAAATTTCATAGATAGTTTAAACGAGTACTCAAACACCACATCATAGACAACGAGAAGATAAATTGGTACTGGATGTTCACCAGAAACGGAGACATGACAAGGATGACTTCTAATTGCCATTTACCCGCTTACCCATGGCAGTGTCAATCAATTTAAAATTACAACGGTTTGTCTCGTTAGGCGCAGCCGGAGAAATTTAGCGATAATTACCACTCACATAAGGTGAACCTCACGATAGGTTTGACATTTTTTGTTTGCCTTGGGCGCTGCGCGCATCCTTACGTCATTCATCATATGCCTGTCGATGCGTTGATCCGCAAACCAAATAATTACACTGCGACGGATGTTGGACTTTGCGGGAAAAAAACATACAAAGATGATAATTACCTACACGCTCAATGGCACTGGTGTCACTTCTCGATTGTGTTTAGAGTTAAAAAAAAGCATACTGAACGCAACGCAAGAACATTGTGTGATTTCACGGCCTCAGCATGCTGATTGGATGCGTGTGTCATAAGATTTCTCACCTAACGTCAGCATTTAAAAAAGCTAACGAAGTTAGCTTGCTATTGACCGCTTCTTATCTGCAGAACACTGGCATAATTATATTGAGTTTGTAACAACTCGGCATGAAATATATTATTGTGACTGACATGAGGTTTAGTGCTCCGAGTAAAGGGCACATTTGACATTCTAAAGGCACCTTTCCATATGTACTTTTTGTTGCACTGCGTGCACGATGCGTTCATGCATTTCACTTTTACCGACACGAAAATCGACACCATTAACACAACACATTTGCGTTGCGTGCGTTGCGGCTGTCTAAATCGCTCCGGGAGCGATTCTGAGGGATACGCAAAGCTTGGCGCAAGTGTTGACGCGCGCATAGAAAGGCGCCCTAACACGAACGACACGATGTTTGGATACTATTGTTATTTTCTTGCCAGAAGACTTACCATGTTGCACTTCACCCCATTCCCCTCTATTTCCCGGCGGACTTTGATGAACTCTCTTTTTTCTTATGCTGTAAACATCTTGTCGTAGACGTGAATTCATTTAACCCAAATAATGGCGACAAAATTAGGTCCTAATAGTCAGCCCAGCGAATTCCTCATTCAGCCAACGAAACATTACGTTGCCGCATCTTGTAAATCAAATGAACTAGGCCTATGTGGTAATCAAATTGCAGCATTGGTGCTTCGATTGAAAATGTATGCTCCAGCAATTTGGGGGGCAGCTGGAGTTAGGTGGCGGCAGTCTCAATTGAATTTACTGTCTTATCAATACTAGAAGTGTCTTCGTGATTGATTATTTTACGTCTCTTTGAAATTCCGTTATTTCCTATGGCCTTGGAGACGGGTTGGTCGTTCGAAAAAAAGTATTTGTTGAAAAATACGTGATTGCACGTATTAAAGCGACATTAAGATGATGCATAGAGTTTGATCTTAAGATAAGTACATGTAAAAGGAACAAAACCCACCGCTAGCCACATTTGGTGTACGTTACACGAAATGAACCAAATTTTACCGTCCATTCACATTTTCCTTTCAAAGCAAGATTCGTGCCGTTTCCTTGCGTTCATTCCCTGGCTACAAAGTACAACAGCAATCTATATAATTGTATGACTCTCACAGTGGATGGGACAAGGTTTAGATTGTTTTGGAAATAGCGACTTTCACGCTGTGACTACACATTATTGGTTTGTTGGTGTTTTTGTAACCAAGGGTGTCTCCATCCGTCCAGAACAGATATCAAAGACTCTCCTGATGTTCCGAAAAATGTATGCGGTCCCATGACCTCAGAAGCCATGACAATCTGTGCGATTTTCAGCTTTAGTCAGAGATCCTAAAATAGAAACACCTCGATGCGTCGTAACGCAAGGCACGTGGGATGTGGATTCCAGAGCGGGTCAATTTGAAACAAGACGCACAAACATTTGTAGGGATACACCGCAGCTGGTTGCTCCTCCCGAGAGAAGCATGTGAAAGATTGATGTGATTCATGTAGACGGAGAGCGCAGTAATTCGGCCAAGGGCTCGGCAGTGTTTGTACAAGGAATGAGTTGCTACGTGCAGCCACAACCCTATTTTTCCCAATGGTTCACTGTGTATTTTTTTTACTTCAAGGTAGGCCTATTCGTATTGAAAATCGGTACCAGTTTTTGCGACACTTATTTGAATTCGGCTAAGTTTACGTTGTGTAACAGGAACTACGCTGTTATCAAAGGTTTCGTCGTCAGGATTAGAGTCTAACTCTCCGCAAAGACTCGATGTCTCGCTAGCTGATATCAAGATGGTGAATCGGTATCGTCGTTCGAATATAAGAATTAAACTGACTTGTCTCAATATTTGCTTTCTAGAATGTACTCGCCCGCAAGCTGCACAACGAGAAAGGAACGTATTTTGGCGCCAAGCTTTGATAATGCAATTATGAATCTTCGGGTATGCACGACTGCAAGATCAGTCACGCTTCCAAATTATACCCAGTTGGCCCCGATATTTTCTTTGGCCTGTTGTTCACCTGTTGTTAACCTGTGGGTGAATACGAGCACGTGAAAGTATATTGTGCCAGCTGCCTTCCTGAAAACAGGTCTTTCAAATGACATCTCGCCACTGTTTTCACGAAGAGGCGGAAATGTCAAAAATGACATTTCTTCGATTTCAATTTTGGCATGCTCTGGCAAGCAAAACGTTGATGTCAGCATTGCATTGATGTTGCCCAGGGCAAAAATCTCGCGAACAGCATTTCGCGTTTTTATGAAGAAACACAAATCTGTCTGCCGCTTGTGTACGTACGAAACCTATCGCCCAAAAAGGCCTAAAAGTAGTGTTCCATGCAGAGACGCACGGCTTCGTTACATTCACAGCTGCGCAAGCGTAATAGGCCTACGGAAAAAAATACATTGAACATTATTATTAAGGGCGTCAAGGCAGGAAAACGTGGTTATTTCGTATCCACGACTGGACGCACTTCTACTTAACAACCAAGTTAAGTTCAATTACTGGATTCATACAAAGTTAAACTCTCAAATAATAATTTGAAGCCTTTTTTATTGCATATTAAAGTTGTCGCAAATCAGTACGTTTTATTTTCACTGTTTCAAAGCAGGAGAAACTTCTCTGGCGATTATCTCGAAAACTAAGAAGTTTTTCTTCAAATGCGTGTCTCGATGAAATCGCAAAAAGCTCTCTCACCCCCTCCCCACAATTTAAATTATTTGATTACTTAGGTTTGCTAAGAGACAGTGAGAGTCAGTTTCCCTCGGATCTCAGCATTCGGCCTAATGTCTCAAGGAGTCATTGCATTGCTCGAAAATCTAAGAGCTATAATGAGCCGACAGCAGTTCATAGGAACATGGGACTTTTCCCCAAAAACTGATTACACTTTTTTTACCCATTTGTGTATGCCAACGTGGTATGTACCAAAGGAGTCTCAACATAATAATTTAATAGCATTTCGTATTTGTCCATAACGGAGACTCGAGTGGTAAAATTCCCAAAGGAATACGTAATGGATTTTGATGAATCGATGACGGAGAATATTATGGAAATGCATTTGTCGGTCTTGACGTTTAAAAAGTATTTTTCGAATGTATTCATCTTCCAATTTAGGCAAAGTTTTAATTGTATTATTTCCCCGTAAAACATCTGGTCATTGCACGGTCAGAAAAAAAACTAATTATAAAAATGACCATCTGGAAGATCGCCATCACTGAAATTCGTCTTTTTCTCCTACATTTCTGTCACTGATTTCCTTGTATGCCAATACTATGAGGCGAAACAGTCTGTAACCCGATTCGCAAGTAAATTTCAGTGTTTTTTTTTAATCTGCATTCCGACATTGCCTCCCGCTGAACAATCATATTTAGCGCTGCAAACTGAACTCGATCACAGGCGAATGGTTTCATATTTGCTATTTTTATGAGCGCAACAAACCGACCGTACGACTTCTTGAAATAACACTGACCGGTGTTAATAAGGTTTCCGGACCTATACGTGGATATAGTCAAATTGTACTTCAGACTATGGAACCTCGGGAAAAGGTCAGACGCAGAGGTCAGAGTGTCTTATACCCGAACGCCCCTTCCGAATTTGTCCGGTTGGTTTTTTTTTTGGGGGGGGGGTTATAGTGTAAGCTGGATACGAATTAACGCTTCAACGATGACAGGGAATGGATAGGTAGACGTTGAGGACGGCACAAGTATGGGCTGATTATACACTTGTCGATGACGAAGAGCTATTTACGAGGATTGCGATTGGACGACGTCTAATTTGATGCGATTGGATCGCACTGCTGGAATGGAGTCGTGGTCAGGATGATGGATGGATGGTGGAGAAGGATGGACAGTTAGATGAAAACTTGTAGATAAGGAGGAAACACCACGATATAAAACCGACAATGCGTGCTCTAATTAAATAGGTATACTGGTTTGGGTGGGTTCATTGGGAGAAGTGGTTGGATTTATGCAAAGAAGGTGTGGGTGGACATGGGTGTAGGATGGATGGATGGGGGTTAAGGGTGGCCATATGGGTGTGAAGGGTAGGCGAAGGGTGATCAGACAAATACAACACACTCCGCCAGAAATGATATTTATACTGGAGACATAAATCTCTAGCTCGATAAAGGGTTGTTGGTTGTTATCACTTTGAGGGGGTTTGTGCGTGGCATACCGTGGACGATATGTATCTTGTGCAATAACGGTAGGATGGAATGCGAGCTGAGTCAAATGCATCTCCAGGACTTGCATCATTTCTAACGGCTCCTGTGGGCTGTGCTCGAAGAAGGAACCTTTTGGTAGAAATGATTTTGTCAACATCATGCCTACTCCGTCAACGTCCAGATATCGATCATTCAGAAATAGTTTTTATGTCCTGCACAACCTCTTGTTTGGCATGCAAGAGAGGTGTCGTGCAAAGACTATGCAATGCCTATAATGAACTATTTCAAACACGCATGACAACTTGAGCTAATTCTAAAGGTTTTAATGGGAAAATTAAGCTACGTATTTCGCTGCATTTTCAGATCAGGATCATGTCTGGTTTCACTCAACTTTTTGGTTTGGTTGGGTTGGGATAGGTTGGGTTGGGTTGGTTTGGTTTCGTTTGGTTTGGTTTGGTTTGGTTTGGTTTTGTGACTATTGCGAGATCCTGCTCAAACGTGAGTTGTTAAGTTTGTTTCGGGGAGCAAGTCCGCAGATGTCGTCACAGCAAATTACGCAGCCAGGGGTACCGGTAGCTAGCCATGTCAAGTTTTACTTCGCTGTCATCAACAGTAATTGGTTTCACGAAACCTACAGTGTAACCCCATGCACGTAATGTCATTTTCGCGAGAGGTTCCCAAGCTTGCAGTTGTTACGACGACTGTCTCTTTACGATTTTTTGATGGCCACAAACATGTCGTCGATTTAAACTTTTTTTTAACTTGCTGGAGTTGTCTCACGGAAGCAATGAAACAATTATTTCACTATAGGCTAACTCGTTGGAGAAACAATCATTTCTCGCACTGACTTAGTTCAAACTGGACGACAGAGTGCTTTATGACGATCATGATTAGATGGTCCGTTTTCAATATCGCCGCACACACTTACTTAAATATATATGACTACGTAAGTTATGCCACAATTTATCATGCAGTTTGTTGTAATTAATTTAAGCTCTGCGTCACTTTGATGCGCATGTAAACCCTTTTTATATGAGGTCAAGCAGAGTTGCACACATTTTTCCTGGGCACCGAAAACTGATAAACTACGGCTTCTACATTAAAAATTTCAAATGGGGGGCACGAACTTCCGCTGGGTACGTGCCCTGCCCCAACCTTCCCTAGTTACACCACTGACTGACGCGGTTAGACTTCGTTGAACCTGAGATTAGCTAGAGGGCGTATATTGGGAGGATATGATTGAAGTCAATTCACATGAACCCGTTTCAACGCTAGGCTATCACCCCAAGCAGAGAGCCCACAGGAGACACGGAGATAACCATAATACCCTACCATTGTTGATTCCTTTATCGTTCCCATGCTTTCAATGTAAAAGTGAAGGCTCACGTCTACCGGCGCACCTGTAAAAAAGGACACCAAAGATATTAAACGCAAAGGAGTTACTCTTTTTGTATGGGAAAAACATAATGGCAAATGGAAATAGTATAACTCGACGTTTGTCCACAGATTTGTCAAGCAAAAATGGTGAACCCTTGCAGGATGGGAGATAGATTTCTCAAAGTTAGTCTCACATGGTGAGATGGAAATAGGCCGACAAGAACAGGCATGTTTAAATTTGGTCAGGTTGATAGTTTGTAAATACTTAAGTGAGGAGAATGGACATGTTCAAATTAATTGCTCTTCCAAAAAAGAGAGTGACCCCCTATGTCAAGACGAAGTGTGATTCACGTCGCTAATGGATTTCACCCTCGTAGACTAGTTTTACACAAAAAAAATGTTAAGTGCTTTTCGTTCCGGTGTTCACTCATAAGGAAAATGATGTTCCATTACACCGTGTGATCAATTTCGTTATGGTTCGTTGTGGACTGATTAAATTTTCTTTACGGATGGGTAGCAGATCGCGCTTCTTGATCTGTCGAGGTGTTGTGATCCTCTCTTAAAGGATTTCATGTACAATTTGTTGTGAACAATTTGAATCAGTTCAGTGGCAGCTGCCCATGAAGGGAAAACATTTTGGTGAGTTTTTCTTTAGGTGTTTTAACCTTTCAAGCAATCAACAATTGCCGTGAAAGCGTACAGCGAGCGAGGTTTGTTACATCAAAGCTTTGCATTTGGAAGAGATGAACTCCTCTTCAACTTTGCGAAGTTCGCGGAAATTCGTGACGTAAAGTGTGAACTGACCTTATGATGAAGCCATTTTATATCTACCAAGAATGCAAATTCGACTTGGAGACACATTCTCGGCAAATTTCGCAGGAGTTTAGTTTAAATAAGCTTTAGCGAAGCCATTTCTGTTTTCTAACTACGCAGATGCGAATCACTGTATGTTTGACTTAACTACTCTCGAATGAAGCCATAGAAATAACGACGTTTGAGCTCAATATCATAGCGGGTACCCGCCACAGGAAAAACCCTGAAAACAGACATCCAAACGCTTTACGACATTGCAAGCGCTCTGAAGTCCTTTAAAACTATAACTGATAGGTTTGCCTGCCTATGAAACAGTTTTCATATCGTAGAATTGGTTACCATTAAATTTCCTTGGGACTCGTGTTGGTTTATCTGACGGGATAGAAGTCGTGGGACATACACGCCAAAGTGAAAGTTAGCCAAACGTCGATGCATATTTGCGAGGACCTCTCCCGATCTCTTATATTATTATGCATTGGTTTTAAACGTAGACGCTGTGCAATTTGCTATTGGTATAAATATTCTAAAGTTATTTTGTTTTCAATGTTTTTCACGTCTAAATCCGCTGCTGTTCAAATGGTTTTGTATTTGCATTCGTCTTCGTCGTACGCACTTCAAATATTGGTACAGTTGTGTAAATAAGCGCGTGTGCGAATGGTGTTTGTGGAGTCCCTGTTTTTCTTTCATTTCGTATGGATATGTCGATGACTCAGAAAGCCCAACTCTACTGTTCTTGACGAGGATTGGCGAGCATATTTCAAATGTGTCATGCTGTACTTTTCTAAACACAGGAGCTTTTAGCTTGTGCAAAATATTTCGGTATTCCAAACGCGCATGCCCAAAATGAAGCGCGTCCGAGGTCATTCGAACGCACGAGCGATGTCTGTCCTATCAGCGCGTTCCTACGCGGACTCGCGAATAACCTTACCTTAACAGAGTGCATCGTCAAGAACCCAATGTATGCTAAACATCTCTCCAATGACATTAAAGAGGATGGATCTCCACATGCATCAAGTGAATATTTTAAAAGGCTGGAGACGAACTTTCACAAGTTGTCTTGACTCGTCAATCTTGTTTACAGTTCCGCGCACACCAAATGGACGCAACCATCAATATTTGATTTATAATGCAAGGCCTCAAACATGAGATGCAAGCCGACGACCCATGCGAAACATTCTGCTTTTAAGGTGAGTGCATGGGTGAACTTGAGAGAGGTGTATTTCTGGAAGCATTTTATTTCCTGTGAGACGCGCCTTGTTCTGGTATTGAACCTCATTTCATGATGACTTCTTTCATTAAAAGACAAACGCAAGAAACAGAAAGACTGCCTCTTGAATTCTGGAACTTTGATTAAAAACACAATAGCATGCTCTGAACACGCCATAAAGGACAAAAGCGATTTTTCTTGAAAATGAAATTGTATCTGAAACCAATTTTATTCCATGAAGGATTAGAACTCCAAATCGACAGAAATTGACATCAAATTTCGCCCAATTTCTTTCTGAATAAATTGCATCTTTCCTTGTGCTATGGAAGCCTCGCTAGCCGTGACCTGTTTTCGTGTTATCAATTTTATCAATCGTTTGATCACCAGTGGGATATAACTCTCGAGCAAATGGGAAAAAATGCCTTATAGATTCTACTGTTTCCTGCCAGGCTGCCTTTCGTGCCGCGGCACAGTTTGTTTCTTACCTATAATTTCCCCCACTGAACCCATTTTGACATCGGATAATGGAATGTTGGGACTAACATGACATGCCGTCAAAGATATTCCGCACCAATGGCGACGATAACACTGATCAGCAACTTTTAAAAAGTTGTCTGTTTTGGAGATAAAATGTGCTATTCATTGTGCATTTTGATGTGCAGCAGGATTCTAACAGTTAACATAACTGATTGGCTACCATTTCCAAGATGTTTATTTTAACATTAAACGTACCATGTGTATGGTGTACATGGCAGATTTTGAATCATGAACTGTATTCCCCCAAGTGTCCACACGTTATGTAGATGTACACACCTTATGTAGATAATGACATAGTACTATATTGAAACTAGAGCAAATTAACAATTCATCGTCCTTTTCACGAAAAGACAGGCATGTCAAAACTGACATTTGTTTCAATTTCAGTTATTTCACGGTTTTGTTTCAAAACAACGTACTTAACTACCCATCCTTAATTTTTTAAAACGAAAATATCAGTTTATACGCAAGAAAAGCTGAACAAGTGCTCACCGTTTCCAAAAGTTTACCGAATTTTCGGACGTTTGTATCTCATCAAGGTGGCGGTAAGTTACTATAAGGAAACACAGTGAATTCCCCGTCGATGCTGCGTTTCTTCACAGTAACTTAACTCCACCTTGATTAAGGACAATCGTCCAAAAATACAGTAATTTGATGACGGTGAGAGCACATTTTTTTACTGTATTGTTTACCTTCGGTTTTACAAGAGCTACGCAGTAACTCCTGTTCTGTTTGAAAATCTCAATGGACCTACTTTTGTGCCTTTCCAGGCAGTACATTCTGTACGTGTTCAAGGGGCTGCTAGCATGTTGACGTGTTTTTGTGAAAATAAAAAAAATTTAGCTATCGAGATGCCTGACCTTGGCATCATTCATGTCATTTATAAATTAATAATATTTTGCTTAAGGAAGCATATCAACATTCATCTTATGTTACATTCTCAGCTGCGCGCGTGTAAACATGCGCGCCCATTCCCTACGGAAAACCCTAATAAAGAGAGGGGCGTATTTCAAGAAAACGAAAATTTACGTTAGGCCTACATTTTTACAAACTTATTTTCAGTAATTAACTACCGCTTTCATTATTGTTGGGAAGTGGCAGTCTGCAGTTTTAAAACTTGAAATTTTTAATCGAAAACGTTTTTTTCTTAAGATATCATTATTTTCGTTCGGATGGTTTTGCAGTTAGTGCCCATCACTGTAAGCAATCAGGAGCTTTCATATTGCTTGCTGAGAATATATTACGCACTAAATAAAGCATCTAACTACGACTTCGGTGTCCGTTATGAGCATAAACCGAATAATAGAATTCCAAGACATTCTTTTTATGGTTCACGCAATATCAAACTGAACTGGCATAAAAAAGAAATTTACAACGGGTTCAGATACTGCTCATTCTGAAAATTCATTTTAAAAATCCTTACGTGTACCGTGAAGATTTCTGCTCAAATACAAGGTGGTTCAAAAAAAGTACACCCAAGTTTAAGGTTTATTACTCACATGTCATTCTGGAGAATTTGTGTTGACCAAGTGTTGATGAGGAGGGAGTTTAGCAACAATCCTGAAAAATGGTAGGTCTAGCTTAATACATCCATTGCACCCGCTAAATAATGTGACCTATAGTGGGTATCAACCTCATAGCAAAGTTTGTTTTGATTGTTGTTAACAAAACAATACAGCCAAGTTAGGGCATAGTACTCAGCATATCAATAGTCCGAGTAGGGTACCTACCGTCCGCTCTATTTTGGTAAATGATACTTATGAAACACTTTACTTGTGGTGGATGCCATGTTTGTTGATATTTAATGCCCACTATAGGTCACGTGACTTAGCGAGCGCAATCGGTCTATTGTATCTCAAGATATCACCCATTACCAATGGCAGGTGCAAAACGGGTTTGTGCATTCTTTGCTTCGTCGCAAAGCATGATTTAACACAATGAAGATATGTAAAGTGATTTACTTTTGACAGTCATTTTCTTTAGCTTTAGAAGTAAAACGTATTGCCTGCTTTGTCTGGAACATTAGTCTGGTATGCGGGGGACCACTGTTGCATAACATTACGTAACTCATTTTCTCTGATGAATGGGAATGGTAGGCACAGATTGGGAATGCTTTGTCAGAGCGGGCTTTTCAAATTTGCAGCGAGAGCATGCTGTGGACGAGTCAGATTTGAACATGCCATTTGTAAAGGGGGAATTAAGCTAGACCTATACCATTTTTTTCAGTATCATTGCTAAACACCCTATCCATCAACACTAGGTAAGTTACACATTCCCTGGATTGCAGGATGCGAGTTAACAATCACCTTAAACTTTGGTTAACCTTTTTTAACCACCCTGTGTATATTCATATATGGAAGAAATGAACTTGCCGGCCCCCGTAGTGTCAGAGAGGTTTTGATAAAATGTGGAAAGTTTGGACTTACATTCCCGATTGATCCAAGCGGAAACTTGTAGGAAGAAAAACTTTTTATTTCTTAACTATTATTGTAATAATATTATGTGTTGTTAAACTATTTTTGATATTTATCTATAACTTATAGAGGGCCTGCGTATGACGTCGCAATAGAAGGCATTTCATTCTTCCTCTAGGGAGGCATGTGGCCTAGTGGTTAGGGTTTGTTCTGATCATAGGATCAGGGGTTCGAATCCATCTGGTGGCAGCATGTTGCGATCCTGGACAAGTCGCTTTACCCCTATGAGCCTCTCTCCAACCAGGAGTAAATGGGTTCCTGTGAGGGCAGATATGGTAGTTTAGCCGTTTGCGCCAAAATGGCAGAACCAGGCTAGTATACTCCCCAGGGAGCTGAGATGGTTTCAGGAATGTTCAGATGATGTGTGAGCCCAACGTGCAGGGATAATGATAATGCAGCGCCTCGGAATGGTTTGCTAGATAGATGGCGCTTTACAAATGCTTGTTATTGTTATTACTGTTATAGGCTCAAGTAAACCTTTTGTGCATTCATTGTCATTAACGCTAAATAACAAAACGTCCTCTGGGAGGGTGCTCCACGCAGGCCCTCTCTAACTGTGTCTTAGGGCCTCAAAATGCCGGCAGTTTTCAAACCACACCAAGCTTTTTATTTGTGGTACGTTTCAGTCGGTTTACAGCGTCGATTTATGGATAAATGGTATTGCCCGCGCAGTGGGAAAAGTATCGTACATTACTGGGAGTATTTCAACCATACATTGACCGCATTTCAGCAATGTTTAGAAGGCAGCGAGTCGTCAGGAACTTTTAAGGAAGGTCTTTTTAGCCCATTTATGCGATAAAAATAGCCACATATGCTTGGTAACCAGCTTTATTGGGGCAAATAGAATACGCCGTATGTCATGAACAATTCCTTCTTTGGCCTTGAAGCATTGGGAGATTACTCTTAATTGTCTTATTCGTTGAATTCTTCTGTATCCAATCATCCTGCAAGTGGAATCTCCGTGACCACAATACCCAGTTAAGCCACTTTTTCCCTGAAATGTAAAATGCATTACATTGTTTTCCCGTCACGGCAATTTCTCCGTCGGCCATAAACACGAACAATACTCAAATAAACGAATTTGGAGCGCCGTTTTCTTTATTCACTGAGCCTTGAAAATTATTTTCCATCTGGTCCCTACATGCAAATCCGATACTGCACTGATTAGACACGCATTACTTCCTTGACAGAATTGGTACTGATGCATAAATACACGGCGCACCGCCTTTTATAGGGAATTTTACATCCAATGCAATGAGAGGCAAACACCTACGCGTTCATTTGCAAGAGCTACGACTACAGCTAGCACAGGGCGATGCATGGGTCTTTGAGCAATGTATGAAAAGCCGGGCACGATGTAACGTCTGCGGCTACGGCCGTTGTATGTCTACAGTGCATGACAAGGATATGGGGAAGTTTTCCACCTAGGAAGATTAACTCATCTGGTCAATTCGATTTATTTCATTTTTCACTCAAATATCTCAACCCTAAAAATAAGTGTAAACATCATGTTAAACATTAAAAGAGATAAAATAAAAAGACACCACGGCAGGAGACCTCTCTAAACTAACTGCTTTTAACTTTTTTTCTTTTCTTTTACTTTATCACTCATTCAGTGACCCGTCGCGGCTGTTGGTGGTCCACTTGAGCGATTGGGAATTTGAAATCAGCGAACTTTGTTCGATGATGCAATACCTCGACTCTCAAGGGTAATTTGTCACACCGTTGTTAAAATATGCTCCTATATGCCAACTCTGGGAATTGCCCAATCTTCAAATTTCCAATCGGTCTAAGATTTCCCTCGTCGTCCTTTGCAATTCCAGATATAGTGTTTCCCCCAACCCTCTCCAAGTGATGGATTTTATTCTTTGTATGCTGCAATATATCGTAGCTGGTCTTTGCACTTTCCAATCGCAACTTTTCTCTGGGAACTCTGATTCTCACTTTAGGGCCTATTTGTTTGTCTGGGCGAAAGTCATTTATAACGTTCTGAGCGATGGAGAAAGCAGTGCCGTGATAAAGTAATGCACTTAGTCAGGAACGCGTGTCAATTCTTGTGGGGGCATGCCCTGGGCATTTCGATGTCGCTGTCACTCACACTGTATGCTGGGGCCTATCAAAAGCACGGTCGTTGCCATTTTTCTTCGCCGATTTGATAATTTTTCCATGCAATCTGATTTGAATTTTTAACTAAAAACACCCTTAAATATTTGTTTGATGTATAATAGCTAGAGGAAGACATCGGTAAGGTTCTGTGTTCTCTCGATGAACGTGGAAATTGAAAGGTGAAATGGACCATAACTTGGGGTTGAAGCTTTTCGTCTTTGTTGAGATGTTGATTTTCCCCGTGAAGAGTCATCACAACACAGCGTCCTCGAGGTGGGTGCCTCTCTAGAATGAGACATGTCAAAGCAATCACTCGCCTCCGGAACTTCTCCCGAGAGCAAAGTGTCCTGAATGATCGTGTCTATTCTCAAGCAACCCATGACGGTCTCCAACTTAACCAAACAGCACTCTGCTTGTAGTCACTTTAAGAGCTAAACTAAACCATCCCTCACTGCAGGGCGCGGTATTCACAGGTCCAATCCAATACAACATTGTACTTTGGATCTTGGTGGTTTACCTGAAGCACCCTTTATTTAAAGAAGTGATCGCTTGCATGCAGCTCGGCATGACGGGTTTGCAAACCTGCATTCGTAAACAGATTTCCTGTTATGTTTTAAACCCCGTGTAGGAATCTACTGTGTGAAGAAATGTAAAAACAATTACATATTAAATGTACTTGTACGCGTTCACTTCCATCAAAGCCCCAAATCATCCGTTAACAGTTTATTTTACGTCAAAGACGATAAGTAGCTTCAAAAGTATGGGACTTTGATGTTACTTTGAAATCTTACTGAAAATGTATTATGAAGGTAGTGCCAGGAATAGGGGCACAGTGTAATTCACGATTTCTTCAGCATCTTCATCATGAGCATAGTTTGGAATAGCATAATTGCAAATTGATTGTTTCTGATCAATCTGAATATAAAATTTCAATGTTTTTTCCATACACTCTTAACTCTCTGCTTGTATCTTGCGACAGTTCAGTACCGGTGGTAACTGCTACGAAATGGCAAAATGCACAGAGTTCAACTGCAATTAGACATTCTATGGCATCTTTTATTAGCCGACTAAATTCCTGGACCGAACGCATAAAGCAACCGTTTAAATGGCATTTTTGCCTTGTCCTGTGAGGTTCAACCAATCTGTGGTCGTCTACCGGGGAATGGGTCGTAAAAGTAAGTCGTTTAACTGATGGAAATCTATTAAAAGATGGCAGACAAGGCACACTAATTACAGTAGGCCTGTGTGTACCCCTATCCGATTACTTTTGGACCATAATCGTTATGGTTCCACCGCAGTAAGACGTATGCATATCTAGGATAAACGCAACACCCCACATTTCCTACAAGAGTTTCCCTTTGGAATTGGTAAAACCTTTTGAAAACCGTTTATAAACAGAACAGAAGTTAAACAGCAAAGGGCTAAAGCATAAACATTGAAGCAGGTCTCGATTCAGTAATTGAGGGGGGTGCGACTTTGTTGGAATTGTTTATAGGATTAACTTCTTTATAGATGCGAAATGGCTCCATTGAGCAATAAAAGCAATTTTCATTAATATTGGATTCCATTGTATATTTTCCTTCACTTTTATTATGGCAATTCTTGACAAGCGGAGTTCTACGTTTTGATAGAGGCAACCTCCATAAACGAAGAATAGAATTGCTTGTGGTGGGTGGATTTACATTAAGTGGGAAGAGAAAAGTCAAAGGGCAACAGATTGTACGTAATAATTTGTTGCACTACCTTTATCGTTGTATAGACTGAGTGCACCTGCTAAGTCATGTGACCTATATAGTGGGTATCAAATATCAACAAATGTGGCGTCCACCAAAAACAAAAAATAAAGCCGCAGTGGGTACCATACTCAGACTTCTGATGTACTGGGGTCTATAACGTGACTTGGCTGTATTATTTGTAAACAAAACTCGAAACAAACGTTGCTGTGGGGTTGATACCCACTGTAGGTCACGTGATTTCACGGGCGCAATCAGTATACATGTATTAAGTTGTGTAAAAATAAATCCAATCCAATACATTTACAAGGGAAACAGAACCAGCAACAATTGGACTTTTAACTTGATACACATCAGTGACAAGTTGCCTTCTTCGCGCTGTTGTGTGGTGTCGCTGTAATGAAACGGGTATATGTACTTGACGACAGCGAATCTTAGATCTCATAATCGGCAGTCAATCATCTTGTAACTACAGCATCCGCGCTCACCGTGGTTGCCTCAATTAAAATTTCGTCAGTCGCGCTCGAGGTTCAGAAAACAACCTTAATTATCGTGGATCATGTCTTGAATTCGTTGCCACGGTCATATGGTTTATCCTGCGTAGCAGATTCATGAAGGCCGGGTATGAGGAGGTTATGGGCCTGCCGATGAGACCCGTTGGATAGTGACCATAATGTATTCAACGTTGCATCCCAGATAGTTCCATATGGTTCTAGTGCATAGGTCTGCTATGCTACATGTACATGCACGTATTTGGTTTTCCAGAGGATGCCGTTTGGTCAGGCCGATAGGGTTTGAGCATAGTGAGAGACCTGTTTTTCTGAGTATAATGTGTGAACTACACTTTGAAAAGTTTCTTAAGATTGGGTGAATTGACTATGACGAAATAGGGCGGACCCTGACCATTGAAATCACGATTCTGTTTCAAAGCTTTTGTTGAGACATTTCCTAATGGCCGATGCTTTCGTATATCAGACAGTCTTTGTTTCAATGTTATTCTATCTGAATGTAAAAGTTTGTTCAACTAAGATGCTGCTTATACCTACCCGTGCTATTGGGCCTAATACTTGGATCATAGTCAGCCGCAGCTGAACATGACAAGGGCTGGCCACCGACCCTGCAGTACAGAAAAACATATCAGATTATTAAAAACAGATTAGATTGCGTGTATTCGGTTAGTGTGCTTGAGTTAACTTCTTGTCCGGTAAGTTATATGCTTTCGTTATGCCCTTGTATACATTTAGTAACCATGCAGGATATCATCAAGATGAATGTATTGCGCACTGTGATAAACTTACTGATTCACTATACCTTTACGGCTTTTGTTCTCAGGCCACATTATGTCTCTCGGTTGAGAGTTTATTTTTCAAAGGTATTTTTCTAATTGTGTTTGAAAATTCAGTCTGAAAACGGACGGACCAGCAGATAATTGCTGAAGGAGTTCGTAGATTGCTATGACAAGGAAGGTAAAGGGTTTCACATTTCATACAAGTAGTCTTGTTACATCTACGAGACCAAGAACCTCAAGCTGCATGTATCTATAGCACAGACAACCGAGAAGATGGCCCAACCGATGGCCTAATAAGCTAGGTATAGATGCTCGAAAAGTGAGTCCAGAAATGCTCTCAAAGAACTTAGACACGACCAAAGTGCATGGCAGGTAACGGGACTAGTTTTACCTCTTGTGATCCAGAGGGTTCAAAATACATATTTGCCGTGGGCGCTGAAGCTTGCAAAAAGGAACTACAAAGTCATTAGGACGAAATTGGAACCCATGTTGCGGAGTCCTTGACGGCTGGGAGGCACAGGAGGATCACATCTTTGATAATGAGAAACCAATAAATGGGAGAGCTGTATTTGATCTATGATTTACGGACATCACCTGCCGTCTGCGCGAATTAATTTCATCGGCGAGGGCAGCTAATATCAACTGCTGTACGGTCCCCTTTGAATATCGCCCGGTGTCTCCGGTCTCGCATTTCATGAATTGGTAATCCAGGGTTTATGTCTTCTCTATGGTTCCCTGGGGAAAGTACGTTCAGTTTCGCGATAATGAGCGTTATGAACGTTCATTGCGAGTGCTGAGCTATACTCTTGTCGGCCTTTATGGAAAACCCAATGCTTCTTCCCTTATGATGTATAGGTAACACGTATGAGATGTTTGGTGTCGCCAAAATGACCAAATCTGTAAAATTAGTGACAAATTTGTTGAATAATTCCACTTGAATGACTCATTTCATAGTAAGACATTTATCTTTGGAATTCTGCATGGATGATAGTGAACACATATCTTCCACGGGTCGAGGATTCGTTGAACAGGTGCCATGTCCACGGGTCACTATTATGCATTGTCAGAATTGTCAGAAATCGCTATTTTTTGGTATCAAATCAAAGCTTACGATGTTATCATTTTAAACATGAAGTCTTCATTTTAATCTGATATGTTGCAGAGATAATTAATTACTTAAGACAAATGTTTTTGTTCTGTTTAATGGGATTTACCACTACAATCAAAATACCATGTTTAAGCCATTTAACACCCTTTGACATCAGTGGAAAAGGTTGCAAGATATACTGAATTGAACAGGGTACTGTCTGTTGTGATACGTGAAAACCTCTTATTTTCCATCAAAAAATGGGATCTTGAAAGGGTACAAAGTGGTTGAAGTTACAAAAGCACATGTTAATATGATCAGCAAATTATTACAAAATTTGACGTGGGTAAACTGCCCAGCCAGTTAAACTGAAGTTGTTTTCTTTGAAATACACTTATTAAACTCTGAAACTGCACAATTAAGTAAACAACTGAAATTACGGGTTTTGCCCTTGACTGACGTATGTATTTATACACACTGGATACACAGTGCTCGCCTGAGAGCTTGTGAAATAATTCCCCGGCTTACTCGAGTGAGACTCAAACATCGGGGAAATTGCGCCTTCTCTTCGGCTGTGTACTGATGGCGTCCCACTTATACAGAGTTTCGTTGTGCGCTATAAGTAATTTCGCGGATAATTATCGGTCATGAAGTCATCAACGGACATTATATTATGAGTTTCTCTAATGCCAGTAGTCATTTATTGGGTCATTTCGCCTCTCTGGTGTGTCTTCGCTTCATTCATAACGAAAAATTGCGTGTATTTGCTCACAGACCCACTCACACATCATCGTTTAAGTCGTCATGCATCGTCAACAAACACGGCTCAGCCATGCGGGTTATGTACATTCAAATTGCCGCTTCCTGTGTTTGAAGCGTAAAGATATTGACATTTTACTGAGGCTGGTGCAATTGAACAAGCAAGGAATGTTCTGATGTCGATCTGACAACAAAATAAGTGCAGTTGGACGGGGTTTAACTTTTTGTCCTCTCACGGTTCAGTGGATGGCTAGTTGAAGCGTAAGCCATTCCCCAATCTCACATGATGTGGTGCGAAATCTTTCCTGCGTGCTATGTGGTCTGCGCTGGGGACTTGTCGGACTTTTGCTGTAAATTCAAGATTATCATCATTTTGTTCCAACTTCAATCTAAAAACAAATGCATATTTTTGTGTGTACATTTTTTAGTACAAAAATATTGAGCAATATTTTTCTTAATATCAAAACAATAATTAAACTATGCGTTTGCCTCTTGCTTTTATCTTATTTGGTATTACAAGGTAAAACAGGACTTTGATCACAAGGACAAGCACAAGCAAAGAATTAAAATCAAAATATTGTTACCAAGTAAAGAGTTAAAGAAACATTAGCACGTACCCCATGCCACGTGTCTAACTTGTTTTGCTGTACCCATTGAAAAGTTTCACTTTACCACGAAATGAGTAAAAATATGACCACTGTGCGGTGTAAACAGGCACGCGTAATTTCGTCTTATGCTCAACGCTGTGTCGTACATTTTCTACGCGTCTGAATCATGAAAACCGTCCGTAAGACCTAAACAGTATCTGGATAAGAGATGGCACAACACGTGGGTAAAATGAGGGTTGGATATATAAGTTTACCCACAAAACGGGAATCTGGTCGACACAAGGTTAAATTTTATTGTATAAATCTACAACACAATAAGGGATAAAATATTAACCGAAAGAGCACAATGACCTCTTGTGCAAACGTTTTATTGACGACCGTGTTCCCTTCTTACTCAAGAAAAGGTTAGAATTTTACCCATGCAGTACATGTACTTGGCTATGAATTTTAATTAAGAGTGTTGTAGGTTAACCCTCCTTATGAAGCTCGATACATGTGTGCAGAGGAGGCACAAAGCAAATACATGTATGAGAAAAACGATAGTTGAGATCTCATATAGGAGTTCCTGCCCAATCTTGTTCATTGATTTTCAGATGTGCAACAAAAATGAGTTGATTGATTGCCGCGCCTGAAGGGTGCACGAAATTTATTGTCTCGAGGTGAAATCGACCATCTTGTTATTCGTGCGATTGGACATGCATGAGCAGAAGTGGGGAAGGATACGGTATCTAAGGAAATTCAAAAAGAGAATTCAAAAGTATTTTCGATTTAAAGACGATGCTATCGTCCTTTCACCTGACAGGCCAACATGTTTATAATTTTTTAATATGAGTAATAATTTGCATTGTTGAATTCATACTGTTCATGGGGTCGGTGAGGGTTAGCCGCGTGCAACCATGCACGGAGTTTTTCTCGATTTTACTATTAAAGGGTATATGCTGAAGTCTTAGTCGGTACCGGTAATGTTTTTAATGTTGTCGCCTCCCATATATTATGCACTGAGTTTGTCAAGCCTGGGGAGTTTATGCGAAATTAAATATATCGCTTATAGGAAATGAAATTGCCTCGATCCGTACGACTCTATATATGATTTTAGGAAAAATTGGTTTGTTCAGATGTTGACAATAATGTTCACCAGATCATGACGCTGAATAGGTCGAGCAGAGAATGGTGCAAATACATTTTATAGACGTCTTTTTGAAATGATAAATATTCACTCGCATGCACATGATGCACGACACTTCTACCTAATTATAAAAAGTATTCGTATATATGCATGAAACGTCCACATCATAAGTGCTGGTATTATACTTCGTCCTGTGAGCTGTGCCCATTTCGGGTATATAACACGCGTTTCCTACGAAATGAGTGTATTTTGAAAAATCAATTCAAGTTGTTCGAGGTTTTCCTCATAACCATTCCCTCAAAATGTGTGTGATTGCTGGGGGAAGGAATATCTAAGGTCAATTTTTTTTCCTGGATAAACATAATATAGGGTTTGGAGTGCCAGTGGGTATTCCACTCACAATGTTTCCTTCAAATGCACAAAGCATTTGAGTGCTTGTCGCTTCTAAGTCTCATATGAGAACGAATGGGCTCAGAAGCATCCAGCGCTGTTTTGTTAAATGAAAGCAGTTTCGACTGTATTCCATTGTGTTTGCAGGCGAGAAAATGGGAACTTGTTAACAGTGCTGTGGTTCACGCATGTGTATCGGCCACATGCATGGCGGCTGCGGCTGACGGCCAATGGCATTTAACCGGCCTAGAAGTGCAACTGATGCCCAAACACACTGGCGACTGGCAAGAGCAGCCAAGCATGCATATGCTCATAGTTTGGTGGCTTGTATTCACTGCCGGAAATAAGAATATCAAAGCTTTAAATTGAATGCCGCATGCATTATTTAATAAAATCGATTTTTTATAATTTCTTCAAGACATTAGGCTAGTGCTTACCCACGCCTTGAATATATTCCAAGTAAACAATTTAAAACAGCGCACTTTTGGTCATTCGAGGGCAGTACGCACCTTTAACTGTCTATCTTTGTATACGATGTAGTCTGTATAACGTGCGCGTGCATGAGAAGTCCCGAGAGCAATATTCTCTCTGTTGAATGATTCAAAGCAGCGAGGTATTTCCTATGTTAATTCACCTAAAGAAAATCATTGATATTTTATAACCTCGCACTGCAAATGACTGCAATAAGTGAGTCACAGACTGTCAAGCGTTAATCTTCCCTCATACAAAACTATTCTGAGTGGTGGATGAAATTGGCATATCTCGTGTAACGCGAACGTTAATCCATTTAGTTGGTGTATATATTCATGATTTTCCCCGCGGTTTGCAGCCATGGCCAACAGTGGCAACAGTGCAACAT